ATCCCCTCCTTCTGCACATGGGGAAACTGAGGCCAGAGAGGAAGTGACCTGTTCAAAGACCCTGAATGGATCAGGAATAGTTCTGAGATTTGATCTCAGACATCCTAACTCCCAGCCAGCAGGAAGCAGGGAGCATAATTTTGCCTCATTCCTGGAAAGTTTTTCTTCTGGATGCACAGTCCTGTCACCTCCACCCCAAGGAGATCCCCAGAAGGGAGAGGGAGCCTCCCACAGAGGGCCTTACCTGCCCGCTGAGGGCATTGCCATATCTCAGATCCGTGACAAAGTGCTCACAGTTCATTTTCTTATCCGGCTGCCCCATCTTCTTACCAACCAACCCGTTCACAAACTTGATGATCTCCTTTATGGGCCGTGGTTTGTACAGGTGGTCCAAATAGTTGTTGACCTTATATGAGCAGTACTCCAGCACTTCCACAAGGAGCTCCTTTTTCACCACCCCTAAAGCGGTGGGAGATCCAGCCTCAGAGTTCTCCCCTGGAATCAGACACACGAGTATCAGGAACTGCAGGGGAGGCCAGGGAGGGAGAGAGAAGACACGAGACAGGCTAGAAGGGCCAGGGTTTACACTACTGAGCCTTGGTGTCTGTCCCTTCACCAATGTGATTAGAGGATTCACGGATTTTACTCTTTTTACTTAATGAGCTGTGAATACTTTTTCAAGCTAATGACTATTCTGATGGTCAGTGGCTGCTATTGTGCTCCATGATATGAATGGACATCGTCTAGTTGGCCATCCACCGTCATTGATCCTTCTCCTTTATGAGACTGTGGACACCTAGACATGTGGCTGGTTTAGTGAAATCTGTCTGCGCACCCAGTTAAAGGGCCGGAGCGGGAGAGCCCCGAATGCGGCCCCAGTCCGGCTTCACCTGGCCCCTCGGACCTCTTTCCCTACTGTGTCAGGACTTGTGGGACCATTAAGCTGCCTCTAAGGGACCGGATGTAGGGTGAACTCAAGCACAGGTCAGGGAGAAACCAATGCAGGGTTCCCAGGGTGGCATTTGGCGTTGAATTGTTCTCATCGTGTTAACAAATCTTTGGTGAGTTACACTTTCAACCCCCCTTACCTGGGGGAGCCAGGTGGATCACATCACCATCGCCCACATAGAGGGCCCAGTGTGAGGAGCCAATGCGGGAAATCTCAATCAGGTCTCCAGGCTTGGGCTCTGCACGAAACTGCAATGAAACAGCCAGGAAGGTGAGACAGATTTCAGGGAGCTGCAGAGGCCCTGGCTGGGAGCTGTAGCTAGGCCTGTGGAGTCCATGATTACTTAGCATGTAGTATGTTCATCACCTGGTGCGTGTGTGTGTGTGTGTGTGTGTGTGTGTGTGTGTGTCTGTGTGTGTCTGTGTGTGTGGCGTGGCGGGGGCTGGGGGGAACTCTTGGTCCCTTGAACACCTCAGCCTGCTGTAGCTTCTAGAGGTTGCCCTGTGTGGAAGTTGAAGCCGGGAAGGCCTTGTTCTGTGCATACATAATGTGTGTGTTGCCTACACACACACTTGGATGCAGACATGCACATGCAGGTGTACTGTGCATGTGGAGGGTGTTGACACCACAGCGGTGTATCAACCCCTTCCTGAGGCTGGGCACCAGGCAACATCAGACATGGGAGTTTGATCCTGTTTGAGCCGCTGACCTGAGACCCAGGGGAAGCCTCATGAAGGACCTGAGATTGCAACGTGTCCTAGAGCGGCTGCCTGTTTCCTGCAGGGACAGGGGCAAGGTTGGGCCTGACACAGTCACACAGCAGGCTCTGCTGGCACATTTTCCCCCATAACAGCCACCTGCCCAAGCCCAGGGGAAGGAAGCAGCACCCCTGCTCAGCTGGGGAAACCAAGGATCAGAGAGGCAGAGGGACTTGCCCAGGGACACTCAGCTGGCAGTGGCTGCACGGGGTCTTCTCTGCCCCGACCCTTCCTGGTCCCCTTTCCTCCTTCCCTTTGCACACCCCCACCTGATCCTCAATGTCCCCGCCCAGCACACCACAGTTTCATGTTCGATAATTTTTCAGTTTTCTTCCTCTCTGTTCCTGATTTCAGGGAATGACAAACCTTCAGCCTCCCTCACCTGAGACGGCCCATTCTGAGACCAGGGTTCAGCTTACCTTTGCCCCTGTTCCATGCCAATATCCAACACCAATGGTCACCCTGGAAGTTTCTCCTGAATTCACGTCCTCCTTCATCTCCCGCCCATGACTTTGGTTAAGGGCGCCCCAGTTATAATTATGTGACCCTACGTTTCCCCGAAACTTCTATCTCCAGCCCCACCTCAGCCTGAAACACTAAACTCACACATCCAACTGCTACTCAACAGGTCCACCTGGATGTCTAACTGGTCAACTCAACACCCCACCTGAGCAGCAAATCCTCAATTTCCCTCCCAAACCTTCTCCTCCCCTCATTCTCTTCCATCCAGGCTGCCCATCACCCAGTCACAGAGGCTGTGAGCCCTGGAGGTGCTGTGGTTCAGCAGAAAGAGCAGGGAGCACTGGGCATTGAATCTGCTTCTGCCTCTTACTAGCTGTGTTTTGGCAAGAGGGGAAAGAGGGGAGGGGTAAGGATGTGCCCAGACCTTACATAACATGTTCTTGAGCTCTTACATGGGCCACAGACCTTGAGCATCTCTTGCCTGAGGGCTCTCTGGGGCCTTAGGCGACCTCTCTTGGTTCAGTGTTGGCCCACCCTTTCTCTGACAGCACACAGGGCATCAGGAGCTGCCTTTAGGGTGGATCTTAGAGGCAAAGGATCCTAAAGGCATAGAGGTGGCCAGAGTCTCAGAGGTCCTCCAAACATCCCCCCTTTCTGCACATGGGGAAACTGAGGGCAGAGAGGAAATGACCTGTTCGAAGACCCTGAGTGGATGAGGAACAGACCTGAGATTTGTTCTTTGATATCCTAACTCCCAGCCAGCTAAGTGACCTGTTCATAGACCCTGAGTGGATCAGGAACAGACCCGAGATTTGAGCTCAGACATCCTGACTCCCAGCCAGCAGGAAGCAGGGAGCATAATTTTGCATCTTTTGGGGTAGTTTTTTCTTTGGGATGCATAGCCCTGTCACCTCCACCCCAAGCAGAAGCCCAGAAGGGAGAGGGAGCCCCCACAGAGGGCCTTACCTGCTGCAAATGAGCTTTGCCATATCTCAGGTTGGTGACAAAGAGTTTACGGTTCGTGCTCAGAACACTGTCCTCCATCTCCTCACCAACCATCTCCTTCCCAGCACTGATCATCTGCTTTATGGGCTGTGGTTTGTACAGGTGGTCCAACTGGCTGTCCACCTCATCGGAGGAGTTTCCCAGAAGCTGCCTTTTAACAACTCCTTGAATCAGACACAGGAGTATCAGGAACTGCAGTGGGAGGCCAGGGAGGGAGAGAGAAATCAGAAGCCAAGAAAGAAGGGCAAAGGGAATCCACTATTGAAATTTGGTGTCTCTCCCTTCATCAATGCGGTTGGAGGATTCAGTGATTTTGCTCTTTTCCTTAACGAGCTGTGAATACTTTTCATGTTAATCAATGGTGTGATGGTCAGTGGCTGCCACTGTGCTCCATGATATGAGTGGACATCATCTAGTTAACCAAGTCCCTATTATTGGCTGGTTTATAGCTTATCCATTGTAAACAACGGTAGTAAATTGTATTTGTTCATCTTTGCACTGTGTGTTTCAGAAAGAGATCGAAGTTGTTCTACTCCCACTGAGTTTCAGACACTCTGCGGTGCAACTTTTATATATTCCCTCACTTATTCCCCTTTTGAACTTCATGGTAAATACTCTCATCTCTGTTCAGCAACTGATATTGGACCCTGAGGCATCATCAGCCTTTTCTGGCAGCTCTGGCCACATGGCGAGTCCACACAGCGCTTCCAGCTGGTGGCGTCCAAATCCCATTGAGCCTGGAGCCCGGGTTTTGCTCTCTAAGAGGAGGGAACTAAAGAGCACACAGCCCTAGATGGTTTGGCTCAGTGGATAGAGC